GCGACGGCGCCGCACTGGATGAATTGGCAACCTCAGGAAGATCCAGAGGGAAAGGAGCACGGGAACGAGGAGCCGCCATCCCACGCGAGCAGGTCCGCGGCCGTCGCAATCGAGGAGGACCCCCTCGCTCACGACTTCCCATCCTTCTTGCGCCTGTCCGACTCTTCCGCGAACAAACGCTGCTGCTTGAGTGTGAACGCCTCCGACTTCTGCTCCTCCGCGATGAACTTGGCGAAGTCGCCCGTGGCCGCGGCCGTCCCCGAGTCGAGGGTGGACGCGATCATCATCTCGAGCCCCCTGAAGTCCGGGCTCTTGGGCGACCTCTTCGTCGCGCGCTCGATGTACATCACCCTCCTGGCGAGCATCTCCATCCCTGCCAAGCGATAGACCTCCAGCTGGTCGAAGCACAACGTGTGGTGGAAGACGCTCAGGAGCGAGGCGTGGTGGTGAGCCACGGCCGAATCTGGCCCCACGCCCGAGTCCCGCACCCACTTGTCGCGGTAAGTGGCGACGGTCTCGCCAGACGAGCGAATGATCGAGACCAGCTCGACCGCCGCGCTCGGCCCACGGAACGGCCAGTCGCTGTCCGTGCCGCTGCTGGAGCCCGCGCCAGCGGCGATCTCGTGCGTCCTCTTCTGGAGCCCAGCCATCGCGTCGCGGAACTCGATGTACCGATGGTCGCGGCCGTCTCGGGTGATGGGCATAACGCGTGGGTCTCTGCCAGCCCCGGACCTCTTCTCTTCCTTCCAGTCCTCCAGGTCGGCAGGGGCCACTCGCTCTAGTGCCGTCCAACGGCCCTCGACAAGGCCCAGCGCCGTCGACCCCCGTTGTACGAAGCGTGCCGGGTTGCTGGTCACCGCGGGGTCGACCTGCTCCCCGAACTGCTCCGCTCCTGTGTCCGAGACCACCCAGACAGCGGCGCCTCGGCTCGGTGCTGTGGCCACGCCGCCGATAAGCACCGCCAACGCTTCCCCCTGCTGCTGGAGGGAGAGAAGCTGGTCCTCGCTGAGGTCCCCGAACATGTAGATGTCGCCCCGCACGCGTGGAGGCACCTGACATCCCCGAGGTAGTGGGACCACCCTGTGGTTGGCCAGGTCCAACACCTCGACGTTGTAGTCCGGGGTCGAAACTACCCACTTGGTACCATCGCCCACGCGGTTCAGCAACAGGCGGTGATGCCACCGAAAGTGGGCGTCGTCTGGGAAGTCGATCGCCACCTGCGGGTTCCCCACATCCAAGGCTGTCTCCCGTGCAGCAGCAGCCGCCATCACTTCCGACTAGCCCTCGGTCGCCAGACCTCGCCCTCGTCGGGTGTCTCGACGCCAGATGGTCCCGATCCAGGGCTGGAAGGGCCAGGAGCGCCAAGAGCAAGGACGCCAGGCAGCGGAGGCGAGCCGCTCGCCGACGCCGGCAGCGACCAGGTGGCTGCGACTCCTCGCGGAAGGCCGACGCTCGCGCCGCCCTCCGCCGCGGCCGCGAAACGGCCGTTGCCCCACCAGGAGCACGCGCGGGTCGCCCACACGAGGAGCGCCGCGCCCGCAAGGGATAGCCCGCACAGCGTCCAGAAGCCCAGCCCGGCGCCGGGCGCCGCTGGGCAGGCCGGGCAGGCCGGCACGATCACCTCCGGGCAGGCGGCCGGAGGGCAGACCGCTGCCGGGCAGACCGGCGGCGGGCAGTGGTCAAGCTCGTGCCCGACCACGCAAGGCGCCGCCTCCGGCGCCAGAGGGTGGCCAGCGAAGCCACCGAGCAGCGAGCCCGCGAAACCAGCAATCGCGGCGAGAGCAGGGTCGGTGGCGCGCATCACACTCGGCTCAATCGTTTGAGCCAAAAACTTAAGGTGGGGCTGGCTACGATCGTGACAACGATAACATGGCACACCATCAATAAGTGGATGCCAAGATGGGTCCTATCTGGCCTAAGCTAGCTTCTAAGTGGGTTGCAAGTGCCCTGAGCGACTTTGGGGGGCCAAGATCTGGACTAGGTGGGCGGAGCCCACTTCGCAAAGTCACCGAACCCCTCCAGGCCACTCGGGGCACCTGTAACCCACTTGTGAGCTATGTCAGAGCAGGTATAATCCGCCCTGGCGTCCACTCAGAGCCCCCTAGTTCCTATGGCCCCCCCCCGCGCCGATAAAGGTGGTGGTGCACGTTTGGGCCGTTTTCTGAGCCCTCGGGTGGGCAGACAAGAGCGGGTGCTGCACCCTCGCGGTCGACCCAGATCCCCGGTGCCTTCCACTGGGGAGGAGGCTTGGACGAAGAGACTCGAAGGCGACAAAGCGGCATAAAAATCCAAATGTTCGGAGGTCCGAACATTTCCGAGTCTGAAGTTTGATGCTCTTCTAGAGGCGACAGAGATGAGGAACCGGTCCCAGGGATAGGGTTGAGGTCTCAGGGGCCGACGTCGGGTGTCGGGGGAGATCTCGCGAAGGAGGAGCAGGAGGAAGAGGAGGAGGAGGAGGAGGAGGAGGAGGAGGAGGAGGGGAAGGGGTGAGGAGGAGGAGGAGGAGGAGGAGGAGGAGGAGGGAGGAGGAGGAGGAGGAGGAGGAGGAGGAGGGGGAGGAGGGGGAGGAGGAGGAGGAGGAGGAGGAGGAGGAGGAGGAGGAGGAGGAGGAGGAGGAGGAGGAGGAGGGAGGAGGGCGAAGGAGGCCTCTCGGTGGAGGGAGGGCAGGAAAGAGCGGTGAGCAGGGAGGCGTGAGAAGAGGGGCGGTTGGGAGGAAGGAGGGGGGGGGAAGGGCCGACGGGATATGCAGGAGAGGCAAGTAGTGTACGGGGAAGCGGGATGAGACGTAGGAGAAGCAGGAGAAAGGAGCCTCCCTCTCTTCCATCTCATAAATCTTTCCCCGCCTCGGCATCTCCCTTCCGGCAGACCTGTTGCCGTTCCCTCCCCATTACACAGCAAGTGCGGCAGCTGAGGCAAGCAAGAGATGTGGGCACAGTAATCGGAAGACGTCTCGCCGTTCGGGCCACATGCTCCGCACTCGAAAGCGGCGGGCATGAAACCTGCGGCTCCCCGCAGAGATTGTGAGGGAATGCTGCTATGGATCCCCTCTACCTGAAGCCTCCTCTTTGTTGGCCGTGGCCACGACTACCCATCTGTTCTCTTTCTTTCGTCGATCCTCCCCCCCCTCCTCCCCAAGCGCAGCTTGTAGAGAGTAACTTTGCGAGCGTGGGCCAACTTCGACCGCGCCGCAAGTAGAACGTCAGCGAGAACACGCAGGAGCAAAATAAGCTCATCGTGCCGCTGCCCGCCAGGAGCGCAGCCCGCGGGGGGCGGCCGTCGGTAAGAGGGCGTCGGCCGCGGCACCAGTCGCCGAGCAACCAGAGGAGGAGCCCTCGCTGCCGCCGACGCCCTGCGGCGCCCAACACTGCCCGAGGTCGCCGGCGTCACCGTCGTCACATCCATCGTTAAGGGCACCGCTATCGCTGCTCGACCCTCTTAGCCACAGCTGGATGTGCCTCGAAATCCTGGTCAGAACGCGCCCTGGGAGAGAGGTCTGGGAAGTAGCGGTGTCGATACCTTCTTGTTTTCCAAATCGCCGCCATGGTCGTCGTCGTCGTCGTTGTATTCGTCGCCGTCGTGGTCTTACTCGCCGCCTGCGTCGTCGCCGTCCGTTGCCATCGCAAATCCTCGTCGGGGCCTCTCTTGGAGCGCGCTCTGGCCAGGATGGCGAGGCAGACCCAGCCGTGGCGACGAGGTGCCCGAGGGCGCCGAGCCGCCATCGCGGCCGCCGACATCGACGTCGACGTCGTCATGGTCGTGGTCGGTTGCCTCGTCCGGGCCGGGTACAAGTGAGGGAGTTGTGGTCCTTGCCCCCCTTGGAACGGGCTATGAATGGCGGCACCCTTCTCGAGAGGTCGTCGATGCGATGAGCTACCCCAGGGGGGTGAGGAATACAGCTCCCCCAGTTGTGGCTGGTCGTTCGGTCGGTCGGTCGGTCGTCGATCGTCGTCGTCCTCGATCGTCGTCGATCGTCGTCGTCATCGTCGTCGCCGTCCTCGATCGTCGTCGATCGCCGTCGTCGTCGCCGTCGTCGTCGTCGTCGCCGTCGTCGTCGCCGTCGTCCTCGTCCTCGTCCTCGTCCTCATCGTCCGAGTCGTCGTCCGCGTCCTCGTCCCCGTCCTCGTCCTCGTCGACGTCCTGGATCCTCGTTGTCGTCCTCGTCCACATCCTCGGTCGTCGTCGTCGTCGTCGTCGTGGTGGTTGTCGCCGTCGTCGCCGTCGTCGTCATACTCGTCCTCGCTTGCGTCCTCGTTCGCGTCCTCGATCCTCGTCGTCGTCTTCGTCGTCGGCGTCGATCGGCCTGAGGTCTCTGGCGGCGGGGGCCAGGCCCGCGAGGTGGAGCCGCATCGAGGCGTTCGAGATCGAGCGCGCGCGGCCAAGCCCGAGGCGCCTATGCGCCGTGGTCGGGCGGCCAGCTCAGCGCCAGGCGGCGAGGGCTCTGGCGTCCTCCTCGGAGGTTGGTGGGGCTCCCGCCCTCCAGGGACAACGCCACGGGAGGATAGGCTCACGAATGAGTAGGAGGAGGCGGAGGGGGAGGAAGAGGAGGAGGAAGAGGAGGAGGAGGAGATGGAGGAGGAGATGGAGGAGGAGATGGAGGAGGAGATGGAGGAGGAGGAGGAGGAGGAGGAGGAGGAGGAGGAGGAGGAGGAGGAGGAGGAGGAGGAGGTAGGGTCAGGAGGCGGGCAGAGGGAGAGGGATAGGCTCACGGGGGATCGAGGTTTGAGGCGTGAGGTGCTTGGACGGCTTCGTCGGTCCTGGGCAGCGTTCCAGCCTCGCGGTGCCCTTCAGCAGCTGCGCCTCGCCGAGGGCGTTCTGGGGGGTGCTCGGATCATCCCGAACGGCTGCTGGAGAGCCGAGCTATGGCCCGAAACACACCGGGGGCAGCGCTAAGGGGGGATAGACAGAATGGGGGGATGCCTCGACCACCATATCGCCCGTTCATCGCCGATAGGGGCCCGATAGCCCATCCCGCCGAGGAACGTGCGGTTTCGCTAGTGGTGCTCATCGCCAATCTATCGGCGATGAATCGCCGATTCCAGCTCGACGTTTCCTCCCAGAAGCGGGTCCCCCCACGGACGTTGCCCCTCGACCCTGCCAGGTCGGCTAGCGAATTGCCCTTGCCCAGTTCTCGAGACGGTGCTGCACCCGGCATGTTTGCTGGCCTGCGCCCGCCAGGTCTGGCCCAGGGCCGTTTCCATTGAAGGACGCCTCGCTATGGGGGGAGCTGTTCCACTCGGCCGCGCGCAAAGGGGGGGGGGGCATGGAGGAGGGGGGGAGGCTTCTTAGAAGCACCCCTGCTTCTTAGAAGGCGCGGGCCTTGTCGAAAGATGTGAGGCTTGCGCCTTCCCAGAAGCAGCCCCAGCCCCATTCTAAGAAGCCTTCGCCCCTCCCCCTACCCTCTTGTGCGCGCCGTCAATCCACCCCCGACGTTTGTCCTCTTTGATCGGCTGGGCGGCAGCTCGAAAAGCTGACCTGGTGGCGAGGCATCTGAAGTCTTATGCCCTGTTGTGGGCATCCTAGGGGGGGGGGGGGGGGGGGAAGGGGCCTGGCGGCCACCGTCGGGCGCGGCTCGAACAAGCTCGTCCGGCTGCAAGGGTTTTTGTTGGGCGTCTTCTCGCGCTTGTGAGTTTCGTGGGTGGACCTCGTGAGCGGCCTGGACGCAGCCCGAAAGACTGACCCAGCGTCGAGGACTTTGGCGTACAGCAGGCATGCTAGATATCAAATCGGCATGCCGGCAGGTGCCCAACAGAAGGTTCGCATCCACCGATGACCCCGGGAGCCCCCCGATGACCCTGGGGGCCCACAAAAAGCTCTGGGACACCATAGGGTTCTCAAAGGTTGTCGAATAGTGTGCCCCATCATTTCTTAGAAAAGGAAGGATTCCCGGATGTGTCTACTTCATATCCTGGTCTTCGTGTGCATCGTCTCGTGAGGCGGGGCGCCTCGTGACCACTGCTGGACGCAGTCCGAAAAACTTGCTCGGCGGCGAGGGGCGAGGGGAGCCAGACCTCCGTCGCCCCACGCATCGCCACAGAAAGTTCTGGGTATCCGGAGCCGTGTTTCGGTCCCTGGCCGCATCGGGCAACCTCGGGACGACAGACGGTCCTCGTGGATAAATCTTGGGCGACGGTGATGGTGTGCAGCGCGAGCGGGTCGGCTTTTGGACATTGCGATACGCCTTTTGGAAGACCTCCTGGAGTCGAAGACGCCGTCTTGGGGAAGCATCTTGAAAGAAGACCGATCCCCTCCAAGAAGCCCCGCTGCTTTCTCGGAAGCCCGCCCCCTTGCCCCATTCCGTGTCGTGAGACGCCAACCCACCGGCCAGGTGTCCTAGGAGCCAAGCAAACGGACCATCCAGAGTGTAGAGGGCCCCCATAAAAAAAAGAACGCCCCGAGATGCCCAAGAGCCAGGCGACGCGAATTATGTCTTGGCCTGAGGAGATTTCTGCAGGTCTTCAGAGGCCCATGGAGCTGGAGCTTCTGGAGGCCCAGATGGCGCCAAAAACGCAACAAGGTTGGGATTATCCCGCGTCAGGGCTGGACCTGAACGCTGTATTGCTGGACTTCGGCTGTGTTGTGTGATTCGTTTTGGGAGGGAGGTACAGGAATACAGAAACGAAAAACAAAACGAATAACAAAGTTTAGGTCCAGCCCTGTCCCGCGTCGTTGATCCCTCCTTCTGGTCCGTGCTGGCTGCCTCCAGGGCCTCCACCCCTGGGACCCTTCGGGCTGGCCAGCCCCGACCGCGGGCCAAGAGCCGTGGAGTCCGATCAGCTGGAGGACCAACGTCGCCGCCGCCGCCGCCGCCGCCGTCGTCGCCGTCGTCGTCGTCGCCGTCGTCGTCGTCGCCGCCGCCGCCGCCGCCACCGTCGTCGTCGTCGTCGTCGTCGTCGTCGTCGTCGTCGTCGTCGTCGTCGCCGTCGCCGTTGTCGATCTTGTTCGTGTTGTCGTTGTCGCCCTCGGCGTCGTCGTCGACCTCCTCGTCGTCGACGTCGTCGTCGTTCTCCTCGGTCCTTGTCGTCGCCCTCGCCGCCGTCGTCGAGCTCGGCGCCGTCCTCGCTGTCGTCGGTCTGCTAGAGGACCGAGTCCGATGGGCTGGCCAGCCCCGCCCCCTCCCCGCCGCAGAGCTCGCGCGGCGACGGTCGCGCGCTGGAGGTGCGGAGGGGAGAGACAGCATACCGATCTCGGAGTTTTGTGCCGCGCCGAAGTTCATTGATTCGGTTCTGCCGAATCAGCCTGTCTGTAAGAAATGTGACCGGGAGGCTTCAGACCTTGGAGGACGCCTTCTCTGACGAGAGCGGCGGTGGCATCCATGGCCAACTCACGATTGGAGTTCCACCGGCTTCCAGACCTTGGACTCTTTATCCAAAGGTTCGCCTGGTGAATGAGCCGAGGCCCCCAGAATCGGTGGCCCATCGTGGCCCCCGATCATGGCCCCCCATCGCGGCCCTCCATCTTGAGCTGTGCAAGGCCGTTATGGTCTTCTGCCGCAGGGGTGCCATTTCATGGATTTCGGGCTTCGGGCCGTTGGAAGTCGATCCAGGATCAAAGGTTTGCCACGTTGGGCGTGGGGGGGGCCGCTCTTGAGCGGATTTTGGCCCACCCGTGGGCCGCTGAAGTCAGAGAGAAAGTACAGATGACCATGCCCCTCCCTCGTTTTCGCCTCTGTGGACCTCCTGGTGGGGGGGGCCCTCGTCGCCACGCGCGCACTCGGAGTCTACGTCAGAACGCACCCTGGGAGAGGCCCAGGGAAGTCGCGGTGTCGGTAACTCCCAGGCCTCCCAAACGGGGTCGAAGTAAATGGGGTCGAAAGATCGCGCCGCATCGACCATGCAATCCGATGTAAAGCCCGAAGGTCTCCGCGCCGACGTCGCAGATGCATCGCTGGCGATGCATCGGCGATGCGGCGCGATCTTCCGGTGCAGCGCGATCCCCGGACGCCATCTACTCGGACCCTACTCGGGAGGCCTCCATAACTTTGCTCGTTCCCTTGGAGGCAGAGCTGGCGGTGGAGGGGCCAGCGGAAAAGCCAGGCACGACCGGCGGGGAAGCTCAGCACGAATTGCCCATGACGTCGGGGCTCCCATGTCGGAGGCCGCGGAAGGCACGCGAGCACAACCGTGCCGACGTCCGCGGGCAGACGATCTCCGCTCCCGGCGCGCGCGCGGGGGTGGGGCCGGGCATCGGGGGGATCGGGGGGCCCCCAGACGGCGCGGTGACCACTCCGCGTACCGCGTGGTGGGTCAGTGGGGGCTCGGGATGGCCGCACGGCTTTGGGACTTGGGACGCTCTCCGAGGATGCCTCGGGCGACTGGGGCCTCCAGGGTCCCACGGCCGTGCGGTGACGGACCGCCTCACTCCCGCGGGCCCTCACTTCCCCCACCCCCCCTCCCGCCCCCTCCCCCGCGCCGCCTCCCGTCGTCCGCGTGTCGTCCGTCGCTCGTATGCTGTGTCGTGCCAGTGAGCTCCGCCTGCTCTGGTAACAAAGTGCTGTGAGGCCCTCTCGGGGGTTCCGAGGTCACCGCACGGTCTGTCAAAGCACCGTTTTGGGACCCCCAGGGGAAGCCTGCCGCCTGCGGACGTGAGGAGAATGGTTCTTCATCCTCTGGCGCGTAACGGTCGTTAACTACGTACCTCGGGCCAGACGAAAGGGGGGGATAGGGAAAGGTGGGGTTACGAAATCTGCTGCATGCAGCTGGTTTCGGCCCCGCCGCCGGGCCCATTCTTCGATACATGGGCGCCTCCGGCGCCGGGAGGCGCCGGGAAAATCAGCTACGTGAGCTGATTCTCAAACCCCCCCTTAAAGGGGGGCCCTTTGCTATCCCCCCCCTTTCGCCCGGCCCGAGTACCAAGGCCGGCCCCACCCCAGAGTAACGGTGACGATCGCAGTTTGGGGGTGGAGCCTGCCGGTGCTCCCAGGCGCCCTGCAGGGTGCTCGCAGGCGCCCTGCTGGTGCTCGCAGGCGTAGCGCAGGTGCCCCACTCCGCCCGAGCGCTGCTTTTACGCCCCCACCCTGGGTAACAACGTTGAGCATGTCTAATTCTTCGAGTTGTTTTTATTCGTTTTTGGGGGGCCAAGATCCTTTCATTTCTAATTGCTTTATCCTGGGCCTCTTCCTGGCCACCAGGGTTAAGTCGGGCCTGTCCCTCTACAGGGGGAATATTCAAAATTAGTCAAAACAAAATCTGCGGACGATGTTTTGAAAATTCTTTTACCATTTTGGTGCATTGTTGGGGTATTCTTAATTTTTCATCCAAAATTCCCCTGTAGGAGGACAGGCCAGACTTAACACTAGGGGGCCAGGAACAATTAGAAACGAGCACAATTAGAAATGAACACCATTAGTCATGAACAACATGTACGCGGAAACAATTGAAAACCAGATCGTGTCTTCGCGGCATCCCACCCGTGGTGGTTCGTCAACATCATCAGGAACATCTGGACGTCCTCGGCGTCGTGCTGCGCCTGCCAGGCCAGGGTCGTCACCTGATGGGGCTGAGTGCTTCAGCCGCTGGACATGACCAGAACGTTGGTGACCCTCTTCGTTTTCCTCCTTTTATCCTCCTCTTCCTCCTCCTTCTTTCATACACCTCCTCCTCCTCCTTCTATCCTCCTCATCTCCCTCCTCTACGCCCCCCTACTTGCTGTTCTACTTGGGGAGGGCCTGGACGGAGACTCCAGCGCGACCGCCAAGCATTTGCATCACTATGCAGCGCATAGGCTTAGGCACGAGGCCGCACGCAGACGGGGCGTGTGAATGCACGCGCTCTTCCAGTCTGTTTATTCTGGCTGGTCTCCCTCTCTCGCTGTTTCTCTCCCTCCGTCTCTCTCTCTCTCTCTCTCTCTCTCTCTCCCCCCCTCCCTTGTGTTGTTCTCACTCTCTCTCTCTCTCGCTCTCTCCCTCTCTCTCTGTATATATAGGTGTGTGTGTCTCTCTCTCTCTCTCTCACTCTCTGCCCTTATCTCCCTGTTTTCCCCTCCCTCTCTTTCCCTCTATGAGTGTGTTCTCTCTCTCTCTCTCTTTCTGTCTCTATGGCCTGCTCCCTCTCTTCTCTCATATGTTTCTCTCTCTCTCTCTCTCTCTCTATATATATATATACCTCTGTGCGGAGACCATGCTTCAAGGCTAATCCACGCACGCACGAGTCCACCGTTGCTTCTTTCTGTGCAGTGCTTCTGCCTATCTGCCGCTTTTCCTGTTGCATGGCTCCTCCTGTCCTCCCGTGCTCGCTTTCGCTGGGCTCTGTTGTGAGATATTGTGGGCCGTTTTGGCCTCCGGGATCTCTGCAGTCAGCACGCTCTGCCACGTCTCCCAGGATGCGGCCCATTGCATGTACCCGATTACGTTTAAGAATGAAGCATCATGAGCACATTGTGCGTGTGTGGTTGAGGTGGCCGTTGAACACGCTGGGACAATAGCTCGGGTTGAAGATCCTCCAAAAATGCCAGCTCGGCTTAGCTTGCCTTCAGCTTCTTGCGAGGTGGTTTATCGCAAGCGACCCAGGCATCCTTAGATTTGCTGGGGAGGTTCTGTGCCGAAGAAAGTTGCTGTCATTGCCCAGAGGTTCCAAATCGGCCTAGTAAGAGTACTTCCGTTGACCCCGGCCCTGGCCTGGCCTAGCAAGCCTTGGGCAGTCCAGTCGTCTGCCATGTTCGCACGTCCGTTTCAGCATGCAGCGAGGGAAATGAACACCTGGGAGTCATCGCAGGGTCTGTCACCCCAGAGTTCTGGGATTCTCCAAAGAGAACGAGAGGAGAGGGAAAACGAGAGAAAGAGAGACAGAGACAGAGAAAGAGAGAGAGAGAGAGACAGATACAGAGGCAGACTGTTGGAGAAAGAGATCAGCGGATGTTGCACAGACGCACATTTGTTGCTTGCACACTTCAGATGGGATTTGAAACAGAACGGTTTCGCCCTAGATGAACTTGAAGTTGGCCCCTGTGTGTCCGTATTGGTTCCATGTTCCTGTGCCCCTTTGTCCGCTACCAGGTCTTCCAGCCAGCGATCACCCCGCTGTTGCCTTGTCCAGATCCCGCGTCCAGCCGTTCCTCGTGTCCCCGACGCCAGAGAGTGCTGTTCCGTCCAGCCGTGAAGGAGACGTTGACGACATGTAAGCGACGAAAAAATCGGGGTCGTTCGTCTTCACCGACATTGGCGCGTAAGCTGCCCGCGTTAGCTCGCGCGTAAGTGCCTTCGTTTCCAGTAAAGCGTGCCGCGCTGGCGGCCCGCGTAAGCCACCGCGTAAGGTCGCGACGTCATCTGGCGTAACACCCGTTGTTGATCGTCGCCAATCTGAGTCTGGCATTGATACGCACGGGCGCTGGCCGAAATGCCCGCCAATCTCTACCAGGTTGAAACGGAACCGCTGGTCTTGGCCCCATAGATGCGTGCGTTCCCCGTTTTCGCTTCTCTGCGGCACAGCGCCGAGGTCGAGGATCTGTTCCATCGCTCGCAGCCGCCGCCTAGGGAATGAATACGTGCCAGGACCCAGGACCCCCAGAGACAGCATCGGACATGGATATTCTCGAGCCCCGGCGCGGCATTAATCGCGCCGAACGCTTGCAATACTATTTGTGGGGTTCTTCTGGGCGGGGGCGGGGGCGGCCGCTGGCGTTGTGGAGGACGATCAATGGAGAGGAAGCGTGCTGCCAAATAATTTTCAGATGTCTAAAACATGTGTCAAACATGTTTTAAACATGTAAACCACATGCTTAAAAACATGTTTAGAACAGTTGTCCGGCATTTTAAACACATGTTTAATTCGATGATAGGGTGTTAGCGCGTCCATTGTCGTGGCATCACAACACTTGCGGGCCCGAAGATCACTTCAGGGCGACACGTGTATTTCGCGGGAGGGGTCGAGTGGCTGCAGGGGCCGGTCGTCCGAAGAAAAGAGGCCTCTCGCTTCCTGGTCGGCAGCGCCTCTCCATTAAGTCGGGCCTGTCCCTCTACAGGAGGAAGATTCAAAAATAGTCCAAACATAGTCTGGGGATTTTTTAATAAACATTTGGGGGTATTTTTGAGTATTTATTGTTTTTCGTCGAAAGTCCCCCTGTAGGGGGACAGGCCCGACTTAACCTCTCCTCCGCCCCTGCGCCGCCACGAAGAGACGAGACGAAGTAAGGCTGCTCTCCTCCAGGAGGCGCGAGGAGCGCACGACGAGATGGCCTGCGCTCCCGATTTGTCGCGTCCCTGCTCCTCTCTTCGCTGCAGGTGTCCCCGCCGCCCCACCCGCGGCCACTGCCCCTCACCATGGTCTGACAGCTGGCACCGAGAGCGGTGCGACCCCCAGATTCCCCAGCGTGGAGTTCCGTGGGATCTACGGGTGTGTGTGTGTGTGTTGTCAGATGGGGTTCTCCGCTCGAACGAAACCCCCCCTCGGGGTCCGATAACCCGCACCCATACCTGTAGCGTCTTCATCTCCTTGCCTTTCCCCATACCTCCTCTCTACGGGTTTCATCGCCTGCTGTTCTCTGATCACCACGAGCCGCGCACGGGCGCGAGGGCCGAAGGGGGGGCGGCGGGAGGAGCCCATGGCCGGTCGCCGCGGGGACTCGCCACTGGGAGTGGGACCTGCGCGCGCGCCCGCATTCGGCGGTTGCTCCTGGCCTGGAGCGTCTTCCTCGTCTCCTCTTGGAGTCGGCCCAGCTCTGGTTCCGGTCAGCAGGAAGGGTGGGCAGGTTCCAGGCGTGGGGATCGACAAGGTTGTCGTTTTTGTTCTGACTCCGGGGGCAGGTTTTCGGGCCCCAGGACCGTCCAAAATGGATCCAAGATGAGCATGTGCCCCAGTTGGACCCCAGGAGGGACCTGGGAACAGATTTTGAGCGGAATTGCCCAACCAGCTCAATCAAACCCCCCCCGCCGAGTCCAAGTCTCCTCCGCCTGATCACGCGCTGGGGCGCGAAGGTAGTCGCGGTTCGCGCGTCGCGGTCTGGGCCAGGGCGGTTGCCCTTCTCCTCAGGGGAGGCGGCGCGGGGGCGGGAGGGCGCGAAGAAAATCGCTCGTCGAGTATCGCGGGGCGCGATGCGCGAAGTTAGGTGACCTAGTCCTGCTCCATGCCTCTCTCTCTCTCACACCTTCGCAGCTGTGGGCTGCAAGAGGCAGTCTCAGGGTACTCAGGCTCGGTCCACCGAACTGCGTGTTCCTGACCCGGGGCGTTGGGGAAAACCAGCATGTCGGCCAGATTTCCAGGATTGGGCCCTTGCCCGTCTCGGGCGCAGGAGTTTCAAGGAACGGTTTGGGATGAAAACCGAGTGCTGTGGGGGGCACGTTTTGAACAGTTTCATGGCGTCGGAAGTCCAGTTTGCAGCGGGTGCGATTTGGGTGGAAGAGGTTCGATCGTTCGGGGGTTACTTGCCTTTGAACTCGTCGGAGCGCTCACCCTGGGTCGGCTGACTCGCTGGTTTGGGCAACTTTGCACTGCAACCCGGATTCGTTTTCGCTTTGTTTCCGTTGTGTTCCGCTCTGGCGCTCGCAGTGGGTCGATCAGATGCACCAGACGTTTTTGAGTGTGCATTGTTTCTCATGTTTCTCGTGCACAACGCAGCTTTTGGCAGCCGTCGACCTTTGGAGCTCACCTCCACAATACCCTCCCCCTCTTTCAGGGCGGGCATGCTGTCGTTGGTATGTGTAGCTGCTTAAGCATTTGAGTGTTGAGCGGCATTGACATTAATGTTGAGCGACACTGGCATCTGGTTAGCAGTCATGAGCCTACGTCATGCGGTACCAGTTCATGCGCATCTGTTATCTGCTGTGTTTGGGATTTGTCCTGGCACGAGCCTGCGCAGATCGCACGCCGATCGGCCAGGACAGCAGTCACGTGGACCGCGTGGCTGGAGCAGTTGCAGCGCGTGGCGACGCGGTCATTGAGTCCGGTGCCCTGCCAGCTGGGATTGTCCAGAGCCCCCTAAACCGGGACATTGTTGACAAGGGCTGTCTGGACATTCCGCATGGGGAGCACGCAGCATGGATAATGCTTGCGACCCATGGCTGCATTTTTCTCGGGCGCGCCGACGTCCTGGGTTACCAAAGTCCCTACGGCTGCAGTTCTCTCGGGCGCGCCGACGTCCTGGGTTACCAAGGTCCCTGTTTAGAGGGCCCCGGACAGTAAGAAAGCCGAGGGGGACGGATCAGTTCATGTTGCATTGCAGGGCCTGTCTGGATGCCAAGCGCACGGGATACTCGCAGCAGCGGTGCTTTGGATTGAGAGCGTCGCTGAAGCCGCCCACATGGTGAAATCGTTGGTCGCGTTCGTCTAGTGCGTGACGTCGGCGGCGCCGCGAGGAGTGCTTTTGAGGAGGTTCAGAGAGCTTCTCAGAAGGCCAGAGCAGCCTTCTGAGAATGCCCGCCCCCGCTGCATTCCCCCCTGGGCGCGCCGCCGATGACGGGCGCGAGGAGCTGCGCACGAGCTCCTCAGTGCGGTGGGGTGGCATGGGGGGCAGAAGCGCTGCTGCACCCTGCTCTTCCTGCTCCTCGCCCGGCGGGCGGTGGGCGTGGTGTCTTGGTGGCGTCTTGGCGCGCGAAGGTCATAGCTCATGTATATGTTGTCACCCGCGGGGGCACGAAGCTAATCGCGCTTCGCGCGTCGCGGACTGGGCCGAAGCAGCTGCCCTTCTCCAGGTGACCCAGATAATGCCATGGGGCCCGAGTATGGGAATGGCCAGAGCGAGGAGATCTTAGCATCGCCCGTACAAGCAATAACTGCAAGCTTAGTTGGAGCTCCAATGGTAAATTCTTTGTATGCGAGTGCTGGAACATAATGCGCGCGATGTTGTCGTTATATATACATATGTATATTATGTATATTGGCATATATCATCGAGAACATCACTGGTAGTAGTGAAGATGACCGTAGCACCAAGATACGTACATTTCAAGATTACCACCAAAGTCTGCCAACAACTCATGCACTCCCCCATCCCACATCTTACACTACCCGTACCAGCTGCAGGGAGATAGTCTAGGTAGTACACTTTTGAATTCGGAGGATCCCTATGCCTAGCACCTCTCCAGTGTCACCTGGGATCCGCATGAGAGGCCAAGATACGTTGTACAGCGGAGCCTTGAGATGCCTTTAGACGTTTCGATTCGAAATCAAGGAGAATTGCACGCCCTATGCTGCTGCTGTTGTGGAGTGGCGACTTGTAAGACGACGCAAATTGGAGAGTGCTCCTTCGCAACGCTCCCCGCATCCATCAGAACACGCTCCAGGACCAGTCATGGGAGGGACGGAAGGAGGAGGAGTTGGAGGAGACATAGTAAGCCCGGTGCGCCGAATAAGAGGTTGGCCCGCCAACAGGTGCCCCACGAGAGTTGCTTCTCTCCCGAGGGGCTCTTGGAGCCTTGGGCCACCTCACGAAGCTCAAAGCCGACGAAGGAGGATCCCCGAGATTTCTCCTGGCAAGACCTCTTACCGCGTGCGCCTGCTGTGTACAGTCGGGGCCCTGAAGAAGGAACCCTTTTCGTTGGGGAGGGGCTCCGCGTTCCTTAAGTGTTTTACAGCTTGCCTCAGGTTTTCCTTAGGGTTTTGATGGGAAATCGAAGTTCAACTTATGGAAAAAGGGGCCTCGTTTCTTATTTAGGGTTCCTTGGGTCAAGGCCCCGACTGTAGCGAGCCGCCTCGAAGACCTCCGATGCGACAGCGAAGTCTGGCTCGGGGCGGCGCACGCCTGCCACCTGCGCCACACAGGCAGACGGAGAGAGGCCGAGCGGTGTGGACGACTGCCTTCGGCTCCTCCTTGCCGCCCTCGCCGGGCGCTCCCTGTCGGGGTTCACGGCCACGAGGAGGGAAGGAGGAGGAGGAGGAGGAGAAGGAGGAGGAGGAGGAGGGCGAGCTAAATTGCATGTGTTGGCGACGTCGTGGGCCGTCTTCGCTCTGCAGCAGAGGCGGACGGAAGACGGGACGATGGACAAACGAAAGCAGGGCGACAACGGACAGCATTGCTCAGCTCGAGCCCTGGAGGGCAGCTCGGCGTCTCGGGCTCTCCGCTTCCAGCGGGGGGGGGGGGGGCTTCCCGCGGCTAGGGGGTCACATGCGAACCCCACCCTCCCCCTCAGAAATCGTGGGGGGTAGGGGTAGGGTTCGCATGTGACCCCCTAGCGGGGGGCAGGTTCTGGGTGCTTCTCTTGGCCTCGGGGAGGCCGACCCTGCCGGGGCGGGGGCCCGAGGCGAGGCCTCGGCGCCTCCGCCGGCTCCCCTCGGAGAGGGGTCGGACTCGGACGCGCCTGATTCCGCTGGGTCAGTGGGCCGCCAGGCCTCAGGCGCGTCCCCCAACGACGGAGGCGAGGCCTCGACGCGTCCGTGGACTCCCCTTATGGGGAGGGGTCGGGCTCGGACGCGTCTTCTTGCGTTGGGTCAGTGGACCGCCCAGGCCTCGGGCGCGTCCCCCACAGCGGAGGCGAGGCCTCGACGCGTCCGTGGGCTCCCCTTTATGGGGAGGAGTCGGACACGGGCGCGCCCGATTTCGTTCGATCATGGGCCGCCAGGCTCGAGGCCCGGCCCAAGCAGCCGAACAGCGCCTGGCGATTGCTTCCTCCGAGCACGCGGACCCGGGTGGAGGCCCTTGGCGATCCGAGCCGAGCTCTGAGGCCACGGCTTGGCAAAGCGACGTGTGCTTACACGGGCGAGGTCTTCGGTTGCCGGGTGGTGTGCAGTCAAGACGCTTCTGCAAGGACCACTTCGGGCTCAGGAGGGTCGGGCTGGACGAAAGGGGGGGATTGGGAAAGGGGGGGTTACGAAATCTGCTGCATGCAGCTGGTTTCGGCCCCGCCGAGGGGCCCATCCCTCGATACATGGCCGCCTCCGGCGCCGGAGGGCGCCGGGAAAATCAGCTACGGATCTGATTCTCAAACCCCCTTTTGTGCTATCCCCTTCTTTCGCCGGACCCGAGAGGGGCTCTGGTGTTCGGGCCAACTCGAAGATCTAAGTCAAGGAAGGAACTGATTCGAAGCCGAGGCTCGCCGTGGCCAGAAAGCACATCATGTTCGGTTCCTTACCCAAGCATTTTTTCTGGTAGCGCGATGGCTGCATGCCTGACATGCGCACCACGTTATGATCAGGCCGAGTTGCCAAATCATGAGTGGGATTGGTATCTCTACCTCGAAAACAGAGCAACGCCGTGGGCTGCAGCGCCGCCCCAGCGGTGTGGTGAAGGGGGCTAGGGATCTGTTGAGCAGAGGCCGAGCACCCACCCAACGCACACTGCGAGAATTCGTCAATCACAGCCAGGCGCGAGAGCTCCGTGGCCGCCCTGGGACGAGCCAGCCTCTGGCGCGCAAGAACTCGAACACGAAAAACTCGAACACGAGAAGAACAGGAGGAAATTTCAAAAATAGTAAAAGAAGCAGTATGGGGTTATTTTTTGATGATTGTTTGAATTTGTGTTTGGCTACTTTAATGTTCTTCCCAAATCCGCCTTTAGGAGGACATGCCCGACCTAAACCCAGGGTTTTCTCGCTTGCTCCCTTCTTCCAGAATGTTGGCAAAGACGCAGAGCAAATGGTGTTCGCGTCAGAGCATCAACACACATAACCGAAACCGACGCAGCGGTCGGAATCTAAACATGCTCAGCGAACTACCCTGCATTATGGTCGGCGATGCCGTTAGCAGCGACAATACCGGGACGCGGGCCTCGACCTCAGGCCTCAGAAATGTCTGAGTGATTCGGAATCTGCACTGGCCTCACATCCCGCGCTGAAACGAGGTCCTGAATTCAGTTCCTCAGATCACGATGCGCCTGAAGTCGCAGAAGAAAGGCCGCCCGAGTGGATTTCGGCGGCAAATCCTTTCGCCACACAGGCCAAATTAGCCACCTAGCCCAAGGACGACCCAGGCGGGAATTCTTCAAGGAACCTTTGACACTGTGCCTATCAGAGATCCGACAGCCAATAACTTGAGGCCAACAGAGGCCGTGCTGGTGAAAACCTAACTACACGAAATTGTGGCCAGAAATCGTGACGCCCCAAGACATTCCTAGGCCGATAGTCATTCAACAATCCCTTACTGTTCGCATCCACTGATCCCCGCATGCGAGTTCGCTCTAGAGCGGGAATCTCACCCAGACGTGGTCCAGGAGTTCGGCGTGAGACCGCGAAGCCAAAAGATGAGACACTCGGAGGCCGCTTGGGCCCTACGCCTTGCGAAAGCCTCCGAGGTATCTTGACATTCCGAAGGGGAGAACGAGGAGGAGGAGGAGGAGGAGGAGGAGGAGGAGTGTGAGCAAGAGGAGGGTAGAACGAGGACGAAGGGAGAAGATGGGGAGGAGGATAAACATGAGAAGGAGGAGGAGGTGGAAGAAGAAGGGGAGGAGGAGGAGGAGGAGGAGGAGGAGGAGGAGGAGGAGGAGGAGGAGGAAGAGGAGGAAAAGAAGGAGGACGTCGGCGACGGCGGTAGCGGCCACGATGCGACAAAGGCGGCGGCAGCGGCGGCCGGCCACGACGACGACGTCATTGACGACAGCGACTGTGACGACGCCGTCCTCGTCGTCCTTGTCCTCGCCGTTCTCAGAGCCGCCGTGTCCTCCTCATCCTCCCCGTGCTCGCCCTCGTCCCCGCTGTCGTCGTTGAGGACGTCGGCGGCGGCGGCGCTGCAGGTTAGGGTCGCCGCCGCGCGCTACTTCCCGGCCTCCATGGTGAGGCCCACCGCGCCCGCTCGGGGAGGGGCGGGGCGCCCTCGGGGCACGCTTATTCCGCTCGGAGCAAGGGGGTCAGGGCAGTGGGGAGGTTACTATTGCTTTTTTATCAGGCAGCACAGAGGACCACTTCGTGAAATATTCACCTGCTCGTGAGAAGTACGTATACTGCACTCGAGAGCTGACGGGTCACTGGTGCCTCGCTGTCACGCCGCAGAGCGTGATCCCACAATGGGTAGTATGCAGTCCCCCCGATGAGAACTGAGAACGGGGCTCCGAAATTCGAGAGCAAGTCACCCCCTCGTTCTGGCGACTCCTGGCCAGGCGCAAGTCACCAAGGGCAAAGCCTCAAGACTGCCAAATCATCGCACGCTCGAGCAGCGGACATTGCCCCCGCTAGGTGTGCCGCACGAGTGAAAGACTGCCCAGGGCTGCTCTGAGAGCGCTGGCACCTGAGACGCCCCGCACCCCCAGGTCAGGCGTACGAGAACCGTTGCTGAAACTAGTGCCTAGGCAATCAAAGAAGGTGCCTCGGTATCTAAAAAAACTCAGTATCTATACTAAGGGTAATGGTGGGAAAATGTGCATCGACTCCCGTAGCCCCCCGGCGAACTGTTGGTTGAACGCTGAGATCATGTACATGCTAAGCCGCTCCATGCTTTCAGTGTGGGCTTCGTCCCGCGGTCACAGGACGGAGGGTGTGCGCAGGCTATCCCTGATGCCCTCAGGACCTAAGAGCAGATCGGTCCGGTTGTCATCCCACTCGATTGTGCTCACGGTCGGGTTCCCAGCGGGCAGCGTCTCCAGGCAAGGTAGAGTGGTCATGACGTCCGCGGCCCCGGAATCCTCGTAAGCGTTCATGAGCGCCACGCCAAAAGCCGTAAGCCGGAACAAATCCAGATGGGCGCGAGAAACTCTGATAATCTCGTCTACGTAGGCGATGGGCAACCAGCCGTGCAAGGGGGACCTCAGCATGTCCCGATATGGGATGTAGACCTCCGACATCGTGCCACAGGACCGTGGCGATAGACAGCACGCACCCAAGCTCACAGAAGCTGCGCATCCAGCTTCAACCATTGTCAGCGGCGCAGTGCTCGGGGCCACAGGGGCCACGCAATCAATATCAACCATGGGTAGAACAGCGAGACGATGAAGCAGAAGTACTTCACGAGGTACCTGATGGGGGCGGAGGAGTTGAAGGAGATGTGCGCTCGCTTGCATCCGCTCCGCACGCCCTGCAGCCAGCTGCCCGCGGCGCCAGCGGCGGCGCGCGCTCGGGCCACGTGCCCGCGAGCGTCGAGGGGCCACACATGCCATAGGCGGGCGGCCCGCGAACGGGGCCAGGCCAATGGCCGCCGTCATCGGGGGGGGGTTCTGCGGCGAGTGACCTCATCGGGACTCGGCGAGAGTCATCCCCAGGCCGTAGGGTCTAGAGCTTGAGCCAGAGTGGCCTTGGGAGTGGGGAGGACCCATGGTAAGGAATGGGGGGGGGGGCAGGAGGAGGATCAGGAGGAGGAGGGGTAAGGAGGCACGAAGGATGAGGAAGGGGAAGATGACCAGAAGTAGGCTTAGGACGAGGAAGGAGGTGGTCGAGGAGGAGGAGGAGGACGAGGACAAGGATGGAAAAGGAAGAACAAGATTGAGGATGAGGAGCAGGAATAGGAGGAGGAGGGTAAGGAAGGATAGGGAGTTGGAAGGAGATAGAAGGAGGAGGAGGAAGAGGACAAGGAGGAGAAAGGATAAGTAATGCCGTTGTGTTTTAGCTCCCAAATGCAATGCTGGCGACTTTTACAGTTTCGGCCTGCAGGGGGCCGCTCTCGAGCCCCAGGCCACGAGAAAGGGATACGGGACCGCAAACTGTCTCTGTGGAAGGGGCCGGGACTTCTAGGCCACGCGGACGGAAAAGCATATGTTCGGATGTATTGCGAAGGCCTTACGGCCGGTGCCGCCGACCCTGAATGGCGACGACGACGACGACGACGAGCGCTCTTGGGGGCCTCTTGGGGGTAGTTTGTGGGCCTCTTGGGAAGCTCTCAGGGACCGCTTGGAAGCCTCGTGGGGGCCACGCGGACGGAAAAGCAGATGTTCGGATTGTGTTTGAACAAGCACGGAGGAGTGGGAGGCGAAAGAACCAGTGCAAACCCAAGACCCACCAACGATGTTGCAGTAAACCTTCCTTCCAAGGTCTATTTTCGCAGGGCCTCACAAGGATGTGCTTTCACTGCGGGAAGTGCCCTGTTGGAAGACAACCATCCGAAAATCTGCAACAATGCCAATGCACCACTTCTGGGACATCAACGCCGCGAATCAACGTTACTGTTGCGTGCTGACGATCCTGAATCGCGCCAGAGCACCATTCCTTAGCTGGCCTTTTCTCCTTACCTCGAGCCCATCTCTGTTTCCGAGCCAGACTGGCGGCACCGCGGAGGGAATTCCGTAGGAATTCTAAGGCCAAATGGGCCACGCTCGTGGCCCATCCTACATTATATTCGCAAATCAGGGTAATTTGCGCGCCGATGAACCATATAAGGGCCCCCAACACGATTATGACGGGAATTTTCCAGTAATTGTGCACACTGTAGAAGGCTATAGCCTTTCGTCTCGACATTATGCTGCATATTTCCCCAGCAAATGCCTGCAAAATCACAACAACATGCGACAAGGCGACAACTGACAAGAACACCAACAGGCAAACCGCAAGCAAATAACAAGAACAAACATGAAAAACACAGCTAAAAAAACAGCACACACACATACATACATACATACATACATACATACATACATACATACATACATACATACATACATACATACCTACCTACCTACCTACCTACATACATACATACATATATACATACATAACATACATAACATACATAACATACATAACATACATAACATACATAACATACATAACATACACAACATACATAACATACATAGCATACATAGCATACATAACATACATAACATACATACATACATACATACATACATACATACATACATACATACATGCATACATACATACATGCATACATACATACACACATACATACATACATACATACCTACCTACCTACCTACCTACATACATACATACATACATACATACATACATATATGTATATATATATATATATATATATATATATATCCCGGGGGAGCAGGCCCGGGCCCCGAAAAAAGGCGCCCCGACCCTCCATGGGGGTACCGGGGCTCATTTTCCATGTGTTTTTTTCAGGGTTTCCGCGTCCTGGGCTCTGGAGGCCGCAGGGGCTGCTGAAGCTCGAGACCGCCCAAGACGGCCCGCGAGCGCTCCAAGACGCGCATAGATAGCCTCAGGAATGGCCAGGAAGGCCCGAAGACGTTCCAAGAGAGCTCCATGAGGTCCCGAAGGCATCCCAAGAGGCCTCCGAAGAGAGCCCCGACAAGCCAAAATCGTTGATTTTTATTGCTTTTTGTTCGAGGTTTTTGGCCTTCTCGTTTTTTCTGGGTTCCGACGCTCCAAGACCGTCCACGAGTCTCCCAAAACCGCTCCAAGACGGCCGAAAAGGCCCCCAATACCGCCCCAAGACGGCCCAAGAGACCCCCAAAATCGTCCCAAGACGGCCCAGGAGAGCCCCAAGATGGCCCAGGAGCCGCCCAAGACGGTTCCAGGAGAGCCCCGACAGGGCTTCAAGACTGCCTAAGCGAGCCCAGCGGTCCCCAAGAGGGCCCCGCGAGGCCCCAAGAGGCCCCAAAGAGGCCCCCAAGAGCCTCCCCGGAGGCCCCCAGAGGCCCCCAAGATGCCCAAAATGGCCCTGAGCGCGCCCCAAGACGCCTCCAGGAGAGCCCCACAGGCCTCCGAGAGGCCCCCAAGAGGCCCACTGGAGGCCCTCAGGAGGTCGTCCCCATCATGTTCCCGGAAGGCGGTCCGGGAACATGATTCCGCGCCTTGGAGGAGTATTCTGCGCTTTCCGAGGCGCCTTCCGAGGCGCCCTGGACGACGTACGTATGTTTCTATAGATTGTCCATCTCCTGTGTACACAATCCTACATGTCTTACGTATGTTTCTATATATATATATATGTATATATATATATATATATATATATATATATATATATATATATCCCTGGGGGCGAGGCCGGGGGCCCCAGGACAGGTGCCTCCACCCCCCATGGCGGGACCGGGGCTCATTTTCCCTGTGTTTTTACAGGGTTTCCGCGTCCTGGGCCTCGGAGGCCGCCGCCTCCGACCCCCCATGGGAGGACGGGGCGGCCGGGGAGGTCCAAAATAGTCCAGGAGGGCCTCCAGAGGCTCCCAAGACGGCCCAAGCGGGCCCCGAGTCGCCGAAAGACCGCTCCAGGACGCCCAAGATAGGCCCAAGACGGCCCGAGAGGCCCCCAAGGCACTCCACGACGCTTCAAGACGCCTCTCCAGAGCGCTTCAAGAGGCCGAAATCGTCAATTTTACGAAGGTTTTCGAACGATTTGGCCTTCCAGCCTTTTCGGCTGTCCGACATTCCAAGACGGCTCAATAAGCCCTCAAGAGCGCCCCAAGACGGCCCAAGAGGGCCCCAAGACGGCCCCAGAGTCGCCCAAGACAGCCCAACAGAGCCCCAAGACGGCCCCAAGATGCGCCCAAGAGGGGGACCACGACTCCAAAATTCGACCCTCCCGCTTGAAGAGTGCCCCAGGAGGCCCCAAGGAGCCCCCAAAAGGCCCCAGGAGGCCCCCAAGAGGCACCCAGGAGGCCCAAACGAAGCCTAAAGAGGCCACAAAACAGCCCCGAGGAGGCTCCACAACGGTCCCAAAACGGCTACCCAGAAGCTGCGAAACTGCCTTCACGACGTCCCCGACAGGCCAACCACGAGATCCAAACCAACACCCATGAGGCCTCTGACCCACCACCCAGGGCACTGTGGCGAGAGCAGTGACAGCACTTGTGCACAGCATGTTCTGGCAGGAGCCTTCCGGAACTCGCTGCAGGAGGAGGAGGAAGATCAGGAGGAGAGAGAGCTGGAGTGGGAGGAGGAGGAGGAGGAGGGGGACGAGGAGGAGGAAGAGGCCTCCAAGACAGCTCCAAGATAGCCGAAGAGGCTTCCAAGAGGGCCCTGGGCGGCCCACGAGGGCCCCAGGGCGGTGCCTGAGGCGCCCAAGAAGGCCCGAGAGGGCCCCAAGACAGCCCCAAGAGAGGCCCAAGAAGGGAAACACCTGCCCCACTCCTCGAGTGTGAACGCTGCTGTATCTTTCCGAAACCGTTGCCTGCTGCAGTTGCAGCTCTGTTCAATCACTCGATCTTGCTGCATGAGCGTTGCGCGACCGCGACGCACCATCTCCGTGCGAAGTAGTGTGCGTGCGCGGCCCGTCCATCCGTGCTCTGAGGCTGGACCTTGGCCTCGAGGCGGACAGGATCAAAATCATCACTTTTCTCCCTTTCCCTTCACTCCTCGAGTGTGAACGCTACTGCATCTCTCCGAAACCGTTGCCTGCTGCAGTTGCAGCTCTGTTCAATCACTCGATCTTGCTGCATGAGCGTTGCGCGACCGCGACGCACCATCTCCGTGCGAAGAAGTGTGCGTGCGCGGCTCATCCGTGCTCTGAGGCTGGACCTTGGCCTCGAGGCGGACAGGATCAAAATCATCACTTTTCTCCCTCTCCCTTCACCCTGCCCCCTCAAGTGTGAACGCTGCTGTATCTTTCAGAAACCGTTGCCTGCTGCAGTTGCAGCACTGTTCAATCATTCGATCTTGCTGCATGAGCGTTGCGCGACCGCGACGCACCATCTCCGTGCGAAGTAGTGTGCGTGCGCGGCTCATCCGTGCTCTGAGGCTGGACCTTGGCCTCGAGGCGGACAGGATCAATATCAAAAAAACATACATCATCTTCAAATCCTTCCCCGAGGGCCTCAAGACGGCCCGAGACAGCCCCCAAAGGCTCCACAGAAGATCACCGAAGCGCCTCCGCTGTCCCCCAGGAGGCTGCGATGAGGCGCCCGGAGGCCCCCAAGAGCGCCCGCAGACGCTCGCAGGCGGCCCAAGAGAGCCCACCGCAAAGCGCCCATGTGGCCCACGCCGAGAGCCCCCGCAGACCTGGGGTAGGCGCTGCCGGGCTGCCTGTGAGGGCCCAAGGTCAGGAGGGGCACGCACACACAGACAGAACTCATCGTCGACTCCGAGTCGACGATGAGGCCTCTGACCCACCACCCAGGGCACTGTGGCGGGAGCAGTGACAGCACTTGTGCACAGCATGTTCTGGCGGGAGCCTTCCAGAACACGCTGCAGGAGGAGGAGGAAGATCAGGAGGGGGGGGAGCTGGAGTGGGAGGAGGAGGAGGGGGACGAGGAGGAGGAAGAGGCCTCCAAGACAGCTCCAAGATAGCCGAAGAGGCTTCCAAGAGGGCCCTGGGCGGCCCACGAGGGCCCCAGGGCGGTGCCTGAGGCGCCCAAGAAGGCCCGAGAGGGCCCCAGGACAGCCCCAAGAGAGGCCCAAGAAGGGAAACACCTGCCCCCCTCCTCGAGTGTGAACGCTGCTGTATCTTTCCGAAACCGTTGCCTGCTGCAGTTGCAGCTCTGTTCAATCACTCGATCTTGCTGCATGAGCGTTGCGCGACCGCGACGCACCATCTCCGTGCGAAGTAGTGTGCGTGCGCGGCCCGTCCATCCGTGCTCTGAGGCTGGACCTTGGCCTCGAGGCGGACAGGATCAAAATCATAATTTTTCTCAGTCTTTCTTCACCCTGGCCCCTCCTCAAATGTGAACGCTGCTGTAGATATCAGAAACTGTTGCCTGCTGCAGATGCAGCACTGCTCAATCATTCGATCTTGCTGCATGAGCGTTGCGCGACCGCGACGCACCATCTCCGTGCGAAGTAGTGTGCATGCGCGGCCGGTCCATCCGTGCTCTGAGGCTGGACCTTGGCCTCGAGGCGGACAGGATCAAAATCATCACTTTTCTCCCTTTCCCTTCACTCCTCGAGTGCGAACGCTACTGCATCTCTCCGAAACCGTTGCCCTCTGCAGATGCAGCACTGCTCAATCATTCGATCTTGCTGCATGAGCGTTGCGCGACCGCGACGCACCATCTCCGTGCGAAGAAGTGTGCGTGCGCGGCTCATCCGTGCTCTGAGGCTGGACCTTGGCCTCGAGGCGGACAGGATCAAAATCATCACTTTTCTCACTCTCCCTTCACCCTGCCTTCTCAAGTGTGAACGCTGCTGTATCTTTCAGAAACCGTTGCCTGCTGCAGTTGCAGCACTGTTCAATCATTCGATCTTGCTGCATGAGCGTTGCGCGACCGCGACGCACCATCTCCGTGCGAAGTAGTGTGCGTGCGCGGCTCACGAGGGCCCCAAGGCGGTGCCTGAGGCGCCCAAGAAGGCCCGAGAGGGCCCCAAAACGGCCCCAAGAGAGGCCCAAGAAGGGAAACACGAACTGAGAATCCGAGCTTTCTACCCCGAGAGGTTCTCGGGAAGTCCCAAGAGGCCCCCAATCGGATCCAAGAGGCCCCCAAGAAGCTCCCAAGAGGGCCGACGAGGTTCCAAGAGATCTCCCAAGGTGGCCCAAAGAGGCACAATTCATTGTTTTACGATTGGGCTTTGACGGGTTTTAATCGTTTCGGCCTTTTGGCATCCTGATGCTCCAAGACGGCCCAAGAGGCTTCCAATACCGCTCCAATATACAGGAAGAGGCCTCCAAGAGGGCCCCAAGACGGCCCTCGAGGGCCCCAAGACGGTGCTTGAGGCGCCCAAGACGGCCCGAGAGGGCCCCAAGAGCCCCAAGAGAGGCCCAAGAAGGGGAACGCGACCCAACAGCAGAGCGTTCCCCCCGAAAGGCCCACAGGAGGCCGCAAGAGGACCCCAAAAGCTTCCCGAGGGCCCAAAAGGCTTCTTGGAGACGTCCAAGAGGTTTTTTTAAATAGCCCAAGAGTGCCCTCAATGCGTCAAAACTGCTTCCAGGAGGCCCGCGGGAGGCTTCCGGATTGCCTCAATCTGGCCGCAGGTGGCCTCAACTCGGGCCTCCACGCAGCCAAGACGGCCAATGACGGCTTCAGATTGTAGAGCCGATGCCCCCAAGGGACTCTCAGACGCCCCCCCAAGAGGCACCCAAGAGGTGCCTCCAACAGCCAGTTGACGAAGCATGCGGAACACCCCAGAAGCTCCTCAGATGCCGTCGCGCGCCTTTGCTTGATAGCGTTGTCCAAGATCGTCCAGCGGCCTGGGCTAGAACCAGAGCGCGCGCGAAGCGCGCGCGATGGTTCTAGTGTGTATATATATATACACATATATATATATATATATATATATATATATATATACACACACGCATGATATGAGCACAAATACACACACATCTATATATATATGTATGTTTATATATATATGTGTGTGTATATAAATATATATGTATATATACACATATATATATATATATAACTGCAGGCAAATTTCACGCAAAAAAAAGCAATGGCGCACATATGCATACATTATAGCACAAACGTCTCATCATAATGAATGTCGTTGTGCAGCGGCTCGTGACACACGTTCCCCTCGAACCACGCCCCGCCTCGCCTCCTACATCTCCTTATCCTCCTTAGGTTGCCTTGAGTCTTGGAGGTTCGTGGTTAGGTTGGGGTTGGGAGCTCGGGCTATCGGCTGTGGGATTGGGGTTGCTGGAACCTGGTTGGTGCAGACGCTTGGGTTATCATGGGGACCCGGTCCGAACTCCCGACTTTCTGGGCCTGGTAGAGTTTTGGTGTTTTTCAATCGTCGGATTTCGAAAACCGATAGCAAAGCTCTCAACCCCCCCGCCGCGGCCCATCTATCTCAGTCGCTCGCCTGGGCTCAAGCTCATGGAAGGGTTGGCTGACCTCGCGTTTTTGGGGGAAGCCTCGGGGGAGGAGGATGAGGCGGATGTGCCAGGCCCCCCCGCCGCCCTGGGCGGCCTGGCGCCGCCCGCGCAGCCTGGTTCCGAGCGAGGCCGGCTGCCCCGCGCAGTGCTGGCCCACGCCAGGACATTCGGGCAGCAAGAGGAAAAGTAGGATGATGATGATGATGAGGAGGAGGAGGAGGAGGAGGAGGAGGAGGAGGAGGAGGAGGAGGAGGAGGAGGAGGGAGAGGACGAGAAGGAGCAGGAGGAGGAAGAAGAGGGAGTGGAGCAGGAGAGCGAGGAAGAGCAGGAGGAGGATTGGGATGAGAGGGATGAGAAGCGAGGAGTGGGAGAAGGAGGAGGAGGAGAAGGAGGAAGGAAACGAGGAGAGAATTCGGAAAGCCTCGGAGGAACCTTGAACCCATCGAGTCAACCGCCCCAGGGCCAGCCAGGGTCTGGGGATTGCCTCCTTCTCCGGCCCCTGCCCCCCTTCCTGATCCTGGCCCAGCCTGGCCCGCATTTGCCTTCAACTGCGGCTGCTGCTCCGCCTCCTCCTCCTCTGCCTCCTCTTCCTCCTCCTCTTCCTCCTCCTCATCCTTCCTCCTTCTCCTCCTCCTCCTCCTTCTCCTCTCCCCCCTCCCTTTCCTCCCCCTCCGCCTCCTCCTCGTCCTCCTCTGTTGCTTTGCCTGCCGGTTGACAGGAGGAGGGCTGCCGCCGCGGCAGACGTTGTCTCGGCCGCGGCCGAGGAGGAACGCCGCGTCCAGGCGCTGTTGAGCGCCGCGTTCGGCGTGGGCCAGGACGCGGTGGCGAAGCATGCTCTGGCCATCGACACGGTGGGGAAGGGGTGCTTGCAACATCTTGTATTGCTAATATTGCTGCATTGTCACATTGTTGTTGTCGCTGATGTTTCGTGATCTTTACGTGTCCATGGCCCCTTTCATTTCATGTTGGCGTGCCAAGTGGGCCATGCCACATGCTGTGTCCTCCCGACTTGCATTCTCGCTTTCTCGTTGTCTGCTTGTGGCAAGGGCAGGTGTGCAATATGGTTTCGGACTGTCAGCCTCGTATGTCCGGCCGGGCTGCTCAACGTCAGGCTAACGGGTTGCGAAGGGAATCGCTTAAAGAAATCGTAGTGTTGAGTGTATGGCGATACTTGCAAGCACGATCGGCAGTCCTTGCATCAAGCCTGACATTGCCCCTGTTGCGCGCTTCGGCGCGGGTCAAATGGGGCGAGACCCAGCAAGAAGTCCAAGTGCAAGTCCCACCGTCTTTGCCTGAGAAGCCCCGTCCCCACAACATTCAGAATAGTGCGAGCATCATGGTGTCGCATGCGTGGATCAAGAACAATGTCTTGGCGAATGCACAGCCGTGGTCGGTGCCGCTGCCTCTATTGACCTGGCTTACGGATGAAACTATTTTTTGACCTGGCTTACGGATGAAACTATTTTTTCCGGTTCGCAGCAGCTATCAATATTCTTCGACCGCCAACTACTCTCGGTGCCGTCGAATTCCAGATGGCTCATTTTTGTGATGGTCGCGGACGACGCTGGCGCCAATCTTCGCGTTGTGTCCATGGTCAGACATCTCTTGGAGCAGACCGGTCGGCTGGTCATCGCATTCCACATGCGGTGGGGGGCGGAGAGGAGTAGAGAGAGGTAGGATGTAGAGGGAGGCCCCCAGGAATGGCGTGGAGTCGGAGCCAGAGGGAGGAGGGAGGAGGAGGAGGAGGAGGAGGAGGAGGAGAGGAAGGATCAGTAGTAGCAAGGCGCTAGGGAGGGGAGGTGCATGGCACATCTGGCGCACCGGTGTGCGACGCCGATGCTGACGTATCTGAAGTTGTGCGGCCCGATGTTCCGGGCTGCCCATATTATGGTGCTCGCGACATATTGGATGACGTTGATCCGCAAGTTGCGTAAGTATGTTGAGTGCAAGCTGACAGTCTTGCACCATGGGAGTCCTCATCCAGAGCACAGTCGGATGGCCCGCCAGATTCTTCACATGACGTGTGCGCCTAAGCTGCTGTAGGCCATAGTTTAATCAATGTAATTCGTTTGCGAATTGTTGATTCGCCTGATGTTTCGCTTCAGCTCCGGCCTGCCAGTGGAAACAGCTGAGAGGGCGTAGCAAATCAATCGGGCCAGTTGCTTTGCCTCCTCCTCCTCCACCTTCCCAACCTCCTCCGCCGCTTCCTCCCCCTCCCCCTACTCCTCCTCCCCCCCCTCTCCTCCTCCTTCTCTCCTTGGTCGAAGCTCGGGGGCGGTCTCTGTGAGAGGTGGCAGGTGGCCTGGCCTCCAATTGCGGGGATCTGGAGATCAACGCCAATGCGTCGAAGATTGGCATCTCCTGTTCCTTATAACCTTTTCCAGGAAAAGGTTAAGGGAAAGGAAATACCAATCATTCCGTTCTTCCCCCCCCCCCCCCCCCGCCTTGTCTTATCGACTGAGGTTGTGCCGCAACATGCCAGAGGCCTACCTCCCACCGCACATCAAGCAGCTCCGGGACCTGGCGCTGGACACCTTCAAGAGTGATTGGAGAAAATCTGGCATTGCTATGTCTTGCAATTGTACTTTCGATGGCCCTGCAAAATGCACAGACATGAACATCAACAGAGTGACTGATGCATTCATGGAACTGGTTTTCAAAAACAAGATTACGATTCCTGCCGTTTCGAGGCGGTGGAAATGCGCCCCGGCCGCCAGAAAATTGCCCCTGGGATTGTGCTGCCACGGCATCCTGGCTCAATTAGCACCGAGGGATGGCAAAAGGAACGCGAACGCTGAGCCTGGAGACTGGCACGCAGAAGTGTCATTCCGCATCAGGTCAACTTTTTCTTGGTTCAATGACTCAAACACGATATCTAAGTTGGTGATCTACTTGAAAGGATTGTCGGTTGAGCAGCACATCGTGGCCTGGATTTTGAAACATGATTGCAGCCAGCGTCCAAGCACGGGGACGCGCCCAGGCGAGTCGGAGTTCTCGGAGTTCTTCGGGCAGCATGAGATCCCCCGTCAGATCCCATTGAAGGCGATGAACCCGACGAGACAGCGCGGTCAACTTCATGTTTCCTGACGCATCCCCGATCTGGGACTCGCTCGAAGAAGGCTGCCGACTTTTAGATCCTAATTCGGCGGATTCAAGCTGGGGATGTTTATGGTTGTGTTTTCAGTCTCTGGGGAAAGTCCCCAACTCATTTGCGACGTGCGGGCGGCCATCTTAAGTCTTGTGGCGAGGCTACGGTGGAAAGTCGGGCTCAAGTCGAACGCCTGGCCTTTTTATGATTTTCCGTTTGATAGCCGACCAGTTCCCAGACTTGCAACAGGGAGCGTCGCAAGATTGGGACAACGCTTGCACTTGTTGTCTTGGTAAAACATTATCGCAACTTCATTCTCGGACGCCTAAAGCAGGGGGCTGCTCTTCGCCGGAGTTTCGAGCCCTCGTCGAGGAATTAGCAGCTCAAGTGGACGTGAGCACCTATGATGTTGAGATGAACCATGCCCGGAATCGCCAGAAGTCCGAAGCGGGCGCTGGCCGCGGGTCTCTCGCCCAAGCCCTGTCGCTCAACAACATGGCCTGCGCCGTCGGGGCCCACGACGCGCACGTCCGGCAATGCCAGCGCAGAGAGTCTGCGAAGCGCGGGCGCCCTGTCAGCGAGATTGACTACGAGAAGGACAAATTTATGAGTGGCTTCTCATACTTTCAGCAGGTTCGAGGCGGTTCCCGCGGCTCCCTGCCCAGCGAGGTGAAGAACGGGGACCGCGCTAGGAGCGTGGCCGAGGATTGGCGTGCACTCAGTGAAGACGAGCGGAAAACATATTCTGTGACAGCAGCTGGCATAAGGGAGGCTGCAAAACAAAAAGAGAAAGAATTGAAAGAACAAAAAGCACGCAAGCGGGAGCGCGACGTTCCTTATGAGTCAAATACAAATGAATCGCATTGGGGCATTGGTGGAACATCAGGCGCGCCCTTGACGCACGAGCTAATATTTGCACCGAGCGATGCTGACGGCCAAGAGAATCATTCCACATTGGCGGAGAGATGGGCGGAGAACGTCCACAAAGAGTTTTTACATTCAGATATCTTCCCAGAAACGTTGGAACACGAAAGGGCATGCTCAGACTGCGGACTTTGCGCAGACAAGTTTTCACGCCGCTGTGGTACGATGGTAAATATTGCGACGCGGTTGCGCACATATTCGAAATCTCAGCCAGCAGCGAAGGTCGACGGATGCAAGTGCTTGTGGCTTCTACATGAACAGAGGAGGTCTGGGTTGCGCGACGATCACGCGGACGATATTGCAATGTTGTTATTGATCGTGCTCAGGCAGCGCAAGCCCTACATATTGGCGTTCCAGCTACTTGATATCAACGAGGCCCCGCTGATCATCTGGGTTCGGAGACCACGATTCCCTGTGAGGTGCACTTTCTCGAGGACGGCCCATGATAGAAGAGTGCAGCACACTCTTCATATGCAGCTTGACGTGCCTGCATGCGGGACATTTGCAGATGAACACTTCCAGGAGGGGCTGGCAGGGGCATGTCGCAGCAGGGGCGCTGTTTCATGTGCGATTGAGCAGCCCCGGGCTCAGGCAAGCGCAGCCATTCACGACTTACCGCAATAAAGTTTATTATGGTAAGTGGTGGGTGGCTGCGAGTGCTGCTGCCCGGCATTGTTATGTATTCAACGTGCTTGCTGTTATCAGCTCTTTGTCGCGCGC